GATTGTAGATTCGGATTCCTCACCCCCGAAAAAGCCGTGAGTACAAATTTTCAGCTTTCCAACTAACGGTGTAATTTTACGTTAACATAATTTGTCTTGTCGCGTAGGCGTCAGACGGAAAGATTTTTTATTTTTTTTATTTGGTAAGATATTTGTTTGATTTCTATAGCACTAATTATAAATGGTCTTGGCTTGCGTGGAAAATTGATTCAAAATCTATTTTCTCTATAATGACGGTCGGAGCGTCGCGTAGTCTGACTTTAAACGCATTTTTCTCGGCACACGTTTAAGCTACAGTGTGCGCTTAAATATCAAATGAAAGCTGAAATTCAAGGCTATTTTTTGATACAAAACATGTATTTTTAGAAATGATGAGTGCTTAGAAAAAAATGATTTAGTAAAAATTTTTTGCGACTACGCGGCTATACGGGGGGCGCGACTATTAGAGGCATTACGGTAGCTTTCTATCCAAAGAAAAATCAATTCTCTGTCACATTTTAAGTAAAATTTCGCGTAAAATCCATCTTTAGAAATTATGTGTGCTTAGAAAAAAAAATGATTTTACTAATAACCATAGCATAACTAAAACCAAAGAATGCTTTTTTATAAACAAAAATTTGAAACATTCATTTTTGAAAGGAATTTTTTGAGCTCAAATTGATTATTAGGACATTTATTGGTGAAAAAAAACTCAACTAAACAACTTTCCCATTTATTTAATCAATTTCCCGATTGGTTCATTAATTTTAGGGCATCATTTGCTTTCCTAGACTAAAAATTTGAAACATTCGCCTTTAAAAGCATATCAAATACTTCGATTTTATGAATTTTGTTAGAATTTTTGCTGTTTGCTCTCAAAATTGCATATTTTTTACTCAAGGAAACTTGTATCCTTTTCACTCATTCTTTTCTATGGCATGTTTCCTCTTTTCGATCAAAAATCTGACATCTACAAAGTCTTTTGAATGTCGAAAAAAGAAAAACAAGCGTTCCTTTATCCATTTTTCCGAAATTCCGAAAATATTTCGAATTTCAAAGACTACGCGTGTTTTTGACATGTTGAAACATACGAATTTCGTGGTTTTTGAGGCTTTTTGAGGCTTTTTGATACTAAACTACTCAATTCTTTTTTCCCCTTTGAATACCAATTAGATTTTGAGTGCAAATCGTCTGTGTTCTTTCTTTTTCCCCAAAAAAAGATCTCTGAAAGATCTGTCTCTCGAAATTCTTTTATATATTTACGACAAGTTTCTTTTTTTCTTGGAAAATTAGCTTCGAAAAATGATCATTGATGGTCAGATAAAAGCTTGAACTTGAATGAACTGTCTTGAATGAACTGTCTTGAATGAACTGTCTTGAATGAACTGTCTTGAATGAGCTGGCTTGAATGAGCTGGCTTGAATGAGCTGGCTTGAATGAGCTGGCTTGAATGAGCTGGCTTGAATGAGCTGGCTTGAATGAGCTGGCTTGAATGAGCTGGCTTGAATGAGCTGGCTTGAATGAGCTGGCTTGAATGAGCTGTCTTGAATGAGCTGGCTTGAATGAGCTGGCTTGAATGAGCTGGCTTGAATGAGCTGGCTTGAATGAGCTGTCTTGAATGAGCTGGCTTGAATGAGCTGGCTTGAATGAGCTGGCTTGAATGAGCTGGCTTGAATGAGCTGGCTTGAATGAGCTGGCTTGAATGAGCTAGCTTGAATGAACTGGCTTGAATGAACTGGCTTGAATGAGCTGGCTTGAATGAACTGGCTTGAATGAACTGGCTTGAATGAGCTGGCTTGAATGAGCTGGCTTGAATGAGCTAGCTTGAATGAACTGGCTTGAATGAACTGGCTTGAATGAACTGGCTTGAATGAACTGGCTTGAATGAACTGGCTTGAATGAACTGGCTTGAATGAACTGGCTTGAATGAACTGACTTCTTCATGCTTTCTTGTCTTGAATGAACTGTCTTGAATTGCATATTGACTTCAATTTTAACTCTAGCATTACTCTGTGAAAAGATGGCGATTTTTCTAGAATTACTTGCTCGTTAACTACGAATTTTTACTGAATACTTTACCTTGATTTTACTTTACGAAGAAAACTGGAAATGGGATTACAGATTACAGAAACCAAGAATTATTCCTTCTGACTTTCCCATATCGATTTCGAAACATTAATATTTGAATCCCAAGACTGAGTATATCCCTTTGTATCAATCCGTTTCCTAAACGGCACTAATTTCAGCCAAAACTACTGTAATCCCATTGCCAGTTTTCCGAAAAATTTAGTTTACAATCTCATTCATGTGTATAAATCTTAAATCTAGCGCTTAAATCTTAAATACTTTATTTCAGTTTCTGAATAAAGTATCTATATACACATAAACACGAAAAGCAACACGATATAATGTATGTAATATTTGGATTTGGACTGCCAGAATTTGGAATCGACTCCCCAGAGTTTTGAGAGAGTCCAATGGTCTTAAAGCCTTTAAATCTATAGATGATCTTAATCTTGAAGCTCTAGTGGATCCTTGACGTTATCTGTGCTACCCATTACATACATTATATCGTGTTGCTTTTTATCGGCCCTTTTCGTGCTTATGTGTATGAATTGATGTGTTTTAATCTTAAATTCTTAATCTTTTAATCTTAAATCTAGCGCACTTTATCTCAGGTGCTGAATAAAGTATATAAATCTATATAAATATATATAAATATATATAAATCTATATAAATATATATAAATATATATAAATCTATATAAATCTATATAAATATATATAAATATATATAAATCTATATAAATCTATATAAATATTAGGTTGATTCCGTGATTTTCCGCTTGTATCACTTTAAAATAGAGTAGGCTTAGCGTAAGCTTTGCTAATCGTAACTGTCTAAATTGTTACTGGCAATTGAGACTTCTAAATTGCTACTTCTAAATTACTACTTCTATTAGGTTGATGCATAAGTCTTTTCGTTTTTTTCGTACTTCTGTTAAAAAGTAACAAATTCACCAATTAATCTATAGTTTGCTCTATAAAGAAAGTGTTTTTTTTGTTCAATTTGCATCTTTTTAAATGAATTTCGGTTCACTTTCAAGCAAATTCGAGAGTGAAAAACGCCTTTTTCGTAAAAATCTATAAAAAACTCTACGGAAAAATTGGCTGAATGAATTTCTCTGAAATTTTGGGCGAAATATCAAACGTTTTTTTCTCTATCTTTTATCTATTGACACGAAGATAGGTTTTCTTTAGCTAAGGTGTCTAAACCGCATCATCGAGTTAGCCCTTTTTGACTACCCGACTTCATACTCTCAAGAAAATCCAGGCATATAATCCAGGTTATTTTTAAACCCGTTTTAATGTTATTTTGCAGAAAAATAATTGCTTTTTCTAATGAAATCAACCGTAGTTTAATTGGTGCATTTGTTGGCTTGAAACGGCAGACGAAAAGGAACAAAAACACTTATGCATCAACCTAATAAATCTATATAAATATATATAAATTTATATAAATTTATATAAATCTATATAAATATATATAAATCTATATAAATCTACTCAAGAAATTTCTTTTTTTCGATCTACTTTAGATCGAGATTGACCCCCGGGGAGCCTTTTCTCTTTCCCCAACCCAACTAGTTCTTTGAACTCTTAGCCATCTAAGGTTAAATCTCGACTTCTTCATTTCTATCTCACTCGAGAATAAACCTATTAAAAAAAAAAGAGGAACAAGCTTAGCAGTGTGAATCCTCTTGTTTGTCTTTCTCCGTTTCTTTTTTGAGTTCATTCTAAAAAATTTTAGTGTTTTTCCTACGGATTCTGATCTGAAATTTGGGGAATTTTAATTGAGAAACAATTTTTATTGAAAAGAAAAGAACCTTGATAATGCTTGAGTCAAGTTTTTAGGTTTTAAGAAAAATTGAAACTCTGATTTTACTCATCAAAATTTCTTCCAGATTTCAACGTTTTTTTTTTCTTTTTTTCTTTCTTTCTTTGACTTATATTGGGCAAATTTAACAATTTTTTTCGGTGTTTTCATACTTTTAAACATAAAAGATAAATAAAAGACCCTAATCTAGGTAAAATACATGAGAAAAATCAGAAAAGAAAAATCTTTTATAACGTCAAAAATCGTAGAACCTCGATCTCGATTTTTCGAAAAATCCAATTTCTTTTCTTTTCTCAAATCTTCGCATTTAAAGGGTAGTTATTTGTATTCCAATTTTGAATCTACCGAAAAGTTCTCAGCGTTTTCTTTCTTTCTTTTTGGAGTGCTCAGTTTGGAGAAAAAATATCCAAAAAATCGTTTGCCTGAGAAAATCGAGCACATTTTAATTAACAAAGACGATTTTTAGCGATTTTTTTTGTCATCAACTGAGCATTGTATAAATCAAAAGCTCATTAGAAGATGGAAATTGGTTTTTAAATTTGATTCTTCTGGTTTCTTTGATTCTTTTTTGACAAATGCGACCTTTTTTTGCGCACCCGGCCAAAAGCGCACCTTTTTTTGGAACCTTTCGCTGGAAAAGGCCTTAGGAAAGGCCATAGAGCATCAAAAATGTTTCCATGCCAGGGAATCGTATGCGTAGATTCCGAATTTCGACAAATCAAACCTCGCTGGCACGTTAAATTTGGGCTAAAAGGCAAAAACTGCGGAAAAGCGTTAAGTTGCGTAGTTTTTGCCTTTTAGCCCAAATTTGACGTGTCAGCGAGGTCTGATTTGTCGAAATTCGGAATCTACGCATACGATTCCCTGGCATGGAAACATTTTTGATGCTCTACGACCTTTCCTAAGGCATTTTCCAGCACCTTTTCCAGGTGCGCAAAAAAAAGGTCGCATTTGTCCCACCCCCGTTTTAACAAATTCAACGCTTGAGCTTTTCTCTAATGTTTAATAACGTTTAATTTCACTTTGATACACTGTTTTCACTTGTTTTCAAATTAAATTCTTTATATTTTTGATATTATTGTTTTAATCCTCCCTATCTTATCACTTTGAGATTTTTCAGAGAATGGCTCGAAATGATCAAATCGTCTCGCCGATCTATCGACCCGATATCGTTAAAATTTTCAAAGTAATCTTTGTAAAATTGTATAAGTTTGCTTGTATAAGTTTATAAGTTAGAAGTTTACATATTTTAAATCTTAAAATTTGGCACAATTCAATCAAAAAAAAGCGGGTTGAGTGGACTAGGCTGAAAAGGCGAAATTTCAACGCAAGAGCTGACTAGATGCAAAGAAATCGAATACAAAAGCAATTCTTACAAAAATAATTCATTTTTATTTTCATTTCCAGATGGTCGAGTGCATTTCCTTCTTTTTCTTGGCTTTTTACGTGATGCTTTATGTGAAATTGTTGTTGAGGAGAAAGGTGAGAGAAATTTGGATTAACAAAGAAGTTTACAAGAAATCAATTACCGTAAAAGCTGTAATAGTAGCTCCCCCCGCCCCCTATACGTGTCCTATTAGATTTGAAATACCGTAAAAGCTGTAATAGTAGCCCCCTATATAGGAGCTTCACGTAGTCTAAGTTTACACTCAAAGAACCGCTCATATCTCGGCGCCCAGACACTTGTTTCAGCGTGCTTAAATATCAAATTAAAGTAGAGAGGATGAGTGATTTTTTGAGATATAGCACAGATTTTTAGCAATAACCAGTGCTTCGAACAAAATGATTGAAAAGTAGAAAAAAGGCCGATTTTTCATCATTTTTCAATCATTTTGTTCGAAGCACTGGTTATTGCTAAAAATCTGTGCTATATCTCAAAAAATCACTCATCCTCTCTACTTTAATTTGATATTTAAGCGCGCTGAAACAAGTGTCTGGGCGCCGAGATATGAGCGGTTCTTTGAGTGTAAACTTAGACTACGTGAAGCTCCTATATAGGGGGCTACTATTACAGCTTTTACGGTATTTCAAATCTAATTAACAGTTTTTTTTTTGATTAAGATTAAAAGTCTTCACATTTTTTTGGTTCTTTAGTTCTTCCATGTGAATCTGGTGATCTTATTGTGTGCTCAACCGATTTCTCATCTTTTATCCCTTTCGATGAGAATTTTCAAACATGCAATGGTTGAATGGGGTTCGTTTTAAACAAATTCAAGCTTAACTTCAAGCTGATATAATGATTATCATGTCACTAACTGAAAATCTTGAACTGGATAGCTCTGGTAAAATGTTTGGAATCAGTTTTTGAACATTTGAAGTTAATGTAATGATTTGTAAATAAGAATTTGCAAGATTTTAGTTCTTATATCAGATATAGGAATCATCACGACAACGCAGGGAGCGACAATCCTTTTCTGGGACAATTTGTTCTCCGACATTTGTGAGTGCAGATATATAATGATTATCATGGCACTAACTGAAAATCTTGAACTGGATAGCTCTGTAAGATTGAAAGATGTTCAGTTATCAACAGGGTTGTGCCAAACGGGAAACTAGGAGCTAAGATAACTTTCGGGTCAGGCCAAGCTAGGATACTTGCGACTTTTCCGAGAAGATCCTGGGTCGACGCTTTAAAGCGTGGTAAAACTACCGTACCCCTCCTAATTTGCCGGTGGAAAGTGCGAAATTTCATTCTTTCATTCTTTCATTCTAAAAATGGTCTCTCAAAACATTTTTTCAAAACAAAACAGCGTCGTCAAATTTATCAAAATCCAAAAAACCAAGCCGGTTTAAGTTTTATATCAAAGGTCTCTAAAGATATTCAGTTAACCAACTGAGTATCACTCGACACACATTTTGAGTGCTCTTTTTATCTATGAAATATTAACTTTTTTTAAAAACTGTTTCACCCATCATGTAGCCAAGAACGCAAGGAATTTTTTGTTATAAAACTTGAACCGGCTTGGTTTTTTGGATTTTGAGAAATTTGACGACGCTGCTTTGAACGTTTTCTATTATGGCGCTGTTTTGACTACCCCCCGAAAATACGTGTTTTTCGTAAAAATCTAGAAAAATCTCTATGAAAAAAACGAAAAGACTTTCTAGAAAGCCTTATAAATCAATCAATCTAGCTTACAATTGGAATCAAATCCATTGACCTTTCCTGATCAGCTGGCCCTTACTAACCACTGATCTGACCGGGAAAATTCCTGATTTAAAAACGAAATTACTGTCATTTTTGCTTTGCTGTCATTTTTGTTTTGCTGTCATTCAATTTCTCATTTCAGTTGTTTCCACAAGCTTTCAAATCGTTGTCGGCATTTCCGTTGAGCGAATCATCGCGATGACCTATATCAACGAGTATGAGGCGAAATATAAAAACCCCCGACTGGCCATCGTTATCATTTTAGTTTGTGTAAGTTTTAGAGACAAAACGAGCCAAAAACGACGCCAAAAACGACGCCAAAAACCTTTTTAGCAAAACTTAAAACCTAAGATTTTTCGAGGCGCTAAAAGAAATGGTATTTCTAAAAGCTATAAGCTGTTTACCGTAACCCGCCAAGGGCTAGTTCGTGGTTAATCGTGTTTAAGAGGAGAAATTTTTGACAAATTTTCGACAAATTTTCATTCTGGACAATTTTCAATAGTTTAATTTAGTTCATAGCTGGTTTTTGGAATAAATTGTCCAACCTCAAAATTGGTGGACAATCGGAATATCGGACATCATATCAGAAAAGCTTATGAGAAAAATGATATTATGTTTATAACGAGTAAAAACTCAGAGAGTTTGACGAGCAAACATAATTGGAACTTTTTATGCTTTAAATCTAATGGGTAAATTGAAATCAGGCAAATGCTCTATTAATTTTGCCGCATAAAAAGTTTTGCGACTTTTGTTGCAATCGCAAAACTTTTCACTAACTTTTAACGTTACTTTTAACGCTACTTTTAACGTTACTTTTAGCGTTACTTTTAACATTACTTTTAACTAACTTTTAACATTACTTTACGTTAACGTTACTTTTATTTATTTCTAGTTCACCTGGTCATCAATTTTATTGTATTTGTGGAATTTGGATGTGATTCCGAACAACGTCGCCTATCCTCTACAATACACTTTTTTTGGATCAGCAGCTGTGGTTAGTTTGGAGAAAAAATAGCTGAAAATATAGCTCAAAAAATCATTGTTTCTTCTTATTAAAGCCACCAAAAATCAATGTTAAAGCCACCAAAATTCAGCTAATTTTCAGGGTTTCGTCATCCTTCGAATCGCCAGCTGGTACGCTTACAAGCGAGTGGCCAATGAGAGATACGCGAGCATTGAGGATCGGTGAGAAATTGCAGATCTTGTAAATTGACGAATTGTAAAAGTCGAATAATCTTTGCTACAGAATAATCTTTTCTTTCCGGAGTGAAAGGCTTTCAGCTATCTTATTTCAGCTAGATATTTATGAAGATCTTTAGAATAGCTGCCTGTTAGGACTGTTAGAACCATTTCAGCATAGTGACGTTAAATCTTAGAACTTGACAACATTCTTTACAGCATTGTACTTCAAAACCGAAGTCTTCCACGTGAAACATTTGATTTTTCAGATATTTAACCGCTCAAAATCTCAAAGCGGCAATTCTCCTTTGCTGGCTTGCTCCATACAAATCTTTATGCAATGTGATGTCGTTATTTGTTTACAATTGGACTTTTGAACAGCATACACCCGATTTCTTTCCATATTATGGGAATTTCTATTTTCTCGGCAATCACGTACAGGTGAGTGAAAGGAGAGAACAAGATAGAGTTGTGTCGAGGGAAAGCAAGGCCAGAGCCCAGTCAGAGCCCAGTCAGAGCCTAGTCAGAGCCCAGTCAGAAGCCCAGTCAGAAGCCAGATTTAGAGACTTTTATGAGCTAGACTTCTAGTTTTGCTTAAAAGTTCTGAAATCCTGAAATTACGAAAGCTTTCCAGCTCTACGTCCAATTGATTCTCACCATCTTGGGACATCGACAACTCATCGATGAATTCCTGAAAATGATCGGTAAAAAATAAACTAATCGCACGATTTACAAGCTTCTCTTAATTTTTTGAAACCCAACTTATTCCAAGAACAGCTTTAGGATTGCGATGGAATCAAAACGAGCAAGACGTGCGGAGTGTGATTGGTGGAAGGATGATATTCAGCTATGAAGAGGAAAATAGAATATATCAAAAGGTGAGTGAGGAAGAAATGAAAGACAAAAGATACTTTAAAGACTGTAAAGAGTTCAAAATCTTTAAAAAGCCTTTCAAAGCCTTTCAAAGCCTTTCAAATAGAATGTTTTCTAAATCCTGTTTATTTTTATTCAATTTTTTTGATTTTCTGATTCTGTGAGGGTTCAAAAAGAATATCAAAAGATGCAAAAAGTGGATGGATTGGATAAAAATAGAGATCAGATAGTCAAAAGAGAAAGGGAACATCATTTAGAACTTTATGCATTACTTGAGAACGTGCATTACTTGAGAAAATATACTTTCTAATAACTAAGTAATATGATATTTCAAAATTCGCAGCCTTGAAAGCCTGATTGATTAGTTTAGTGAAAGATTGATGTTGTATACAACATGATGTTGTACATAAAATGTACAATAAAAGTAAACAGCCAACAAGATTTATCCTTTTTGAATCATTTTGAAAGATATTCAGTCTTGTTGACCAGCTGTTGACCAGATTTCTATTCTGGTATTGGGTTGGTGAATTGAAAACTGCGCGACGGGACTTTGAACTAAAATTTATTCAACATTAAACCATCAATTCATTCCAAATATTGGGTTTTCCAGTTATGAATGCGCGTTTTTTACTATTTTGTAAATTTCTCAAGATTCCGAAATCAAGAAAAAGATATATATGAGTATTATCCGAAAGCTGAAGATCTCCTCTACATTTTGATATAAAAACGTTTTTGAATTTGTTCAGCTTTTGGGCAAATTGACTGCACAGAAGAAGAGGTGGCCAAAAAATGGAAGGGTGCCTTTGGATCAAGTTTTGGCTCCGCTCAAACTGAGTTAACCGTTTGATGTTTGACCAATAGATATATCAATACAACTTTTTAAAAATATAACAATTTCAGAGCATCTTTACTTTTCTTTTCTTTTCTGGGCGGTTATTTTACAGCATAAAGCTTGAGGAATAGCTAAGCTGGAATGGGTTTTTTCGAAAACCACCTCTCCCTTTGTCAAGTCAATTTCCCAAAAAATTGAATGAATTCAAAAATTTTTTTGATTCCAAAATGTAGAGGAGATGTTCAGCTTTCGAATGATATATAACACTCATATACATCTGTTCGATATCTTGAGAAATTTACAAAATAGTAAAAATGCGCATTCATAACTGGACAACCCAATAATTTCCATTATTATTTCCATTATTATTGACGACTTCTGACCATTTTACAGGCAATTAGTGGATTCCTCTTTCGTAGTAGGATTTTGGTTTGTGATTTTTGGTATCAGCTTTGAATAACAGATGTCCAGAGTCTGTCCACAAATGTTCCATAGATCTAGCACAAGTAACCTTCTAGCTTTAAACATTATCCTTCCAGCTTCCAGATTTAAACATGAAATTTTTGATCGCAGTAGATTGAACTGGTTCTCGCTCTAGTTTTTGCTACACTAAACTAATAACAACTATTCTATTGGGTTGGTGAATTAAAAATTGCGGGACTTTGAACTAAAATTTATTCAACATAAAACCATCAATTCATTCCAAATAATTTCCATTATTATTGACGACTTCTGCCCATTTTACAGGCAATTTGCGGATTTCCTCTTTCGTAGTAGGATTTTGGTTTGTGTGTGAGACAAGTGTGAGACTCAAAAATGGAGGACTGGAGATGTCCCAGTTTGAGCATTTGAGCACTTTCTTCAAAAGAAACCCATTTTGGTGTCAATAGAAAAGTTGTAGAGAATCAAAAATTAAGCTTATATCCAAATTTCCAAAAAGATACACTTAGTAGTTTCGCTTAAAATGCAAGTTTTGTGAAAATTCGTAAATTTGGCATTTCTTGAAAACCAGTTTTTGAATCGTTCTGAAAATTTGGATATAAGCTTGATTTTTGATTCTCTACAACTTTTCCATTGACACCAAAATGGGTTTCTTTTGAAGAAAGTGCTCAAACTGTCACATATGAAAATAGCCCGCAGTTTTCATATAATTTTCATATCAACCCAATATAATGTAGTGAAATCACAATAACTTTTCTCACTTCATTTCTTCTCATTTCATTTCACCTCACTTTTCAGCAAATGCAAGACATGTGGCAATCGGGTGCGAAAGAAGAAAAAGGAAACAAAAAAGAGAAACGAAAAAAGTACACCTCTGTGGAACCACAAGAGATTTAATTAGCAATTCATTTTCGGCAATTCAGCAATTCATTTTGATATCGAAAATTTTGAAATCACATCTTTTTAAACCTTTTTTAGCTTTAATACATCAATTTTCGTATTTTCGTATAGTTTTAAAACAGTTTTGAAATTTTCTTCTCCCTTTTTCAATCTTCAATCATATGGGTATTTTTTTATGCATAACAGTCAAACGAATCAACTCTTTTCGAAAGATAAATAAGAATTTATGCACAGAAGTTTTGATTCTTTATTCTTTAAATATATGAGTGACTTTTATTCGTTGTGATTTGTCGTTTTTTGTGCTCTCATCGAAATTCTCAAGATCCGTTTCACTAACTTGCTCGAGAGTTGTTGAATTTAGGGGAACTGAGCTTTTTATTTACGAAGTTCAGCTTTAATTTATGTAAAGTTTAAAATAGAATAAAGCTGATATAAAGAGCTAAATTTTTAGATCAAAGCAAGCCAAGCCGGGGTTGACAAAAGAGCTAAATTTTTGGGTCAAGCCAGAACCAAGTTCTTAGGCCAAAGCCAAGTTCTTAGGCCAAAGCCAGGATCCTAGGCTTAGCTTAGCTTTAGCTTGGCTTTAGCTTGGCTTTAGCTTGGCTTTAGCTTGGCTTTAGCTTGGCTTTAGCTTGGCTTTAGCTTGGCTTTAGCTTGGCTTTAGCTTGGCTTTAGCTTGGCTTTAGCTTGGCTTTAGCTTGGCTTTAGCTTGGCTTTAGCTTGGCTTTAGCTTGGCTTTAGCTTGGCTTTTAGCTTTTTTTTGTCAACTCTGAATATAAAAAGCTATCTAACCTGATCGAAAAACGAGAATTCCTTGAAATGCGTGTACTCCTGTCGAAAATTCGCTACTGGCAAAGTTCTGATACGTGAAAAAATGAAGCTCTTCCACTTTTGAGCAACATAAACTGAAAGAAAATTGAAACAATTGAAACAAAGAATTGAAACGATTAAAGTTTTAAAGTTAGTTAACAAAAAAGTGAACATTTTGATTACGTTAAGAACTCACCGAAACCCGGAAGTGATCAAATCGGATCGATCGTTGATCAATAAATGATTGAATTGACAGCCTTGAATGCAATTCCCAAAAAGAATCTTTACTGCCAGCAGAATTTTTCGATCCTCATTTGCCTGTATTTGTGTAGGCTGAGTTTTACTATCGAAAATTGTAGCATTCTTTGCTTTACAAAACTTTTCTGTTATTATTTGTTGTATTCTGTCAATATAACGTTCACTGTTTAAATTCGGATTTATCTTTTACTTGATTTTAAACTTATTATTATGAATCCTTTGCTTTCAAAAAATATCGTAAGCCCTAGTTCCTTCTTTCTTCCTTTCTTTCTTCCTTTCTTTCTTCCTTTCTTTCTTTCTTCTTCGCCCTTGTCTTTCTTTCTTTCTTCTTCCCCCTTGTCTTTCCTTCTTTCTCTTGACAAGTTAAGGTACCGGTTAGCTTAGATTAGAGCAATTGTCCGGAAAGCAAAAGGTTAAGGTTTCTCCCTTTCCCCCTTTCTACTTTTTCTTGTCAATTCCTTTACTTCCTTATTACCAATCTTTTCAGTCTCACTTTTAGATGATAAACACATTTCCTGCGACTCGTAACCCGCTTCATTGAGCCGAAGTTCACCATTAGAGCCTGTAAAGTTTCAATGTTTATTAGAATTAAGGCAAGCTTGAGGTTTCTAATAATTTAAGGTTTAAAATGTCAAAGAGAAGCTGAAGTCAGAGAAGTCAAAGTCAGAGAAGTCAAAGAGAAATTTATACCTAAACTGGGCCATAAGCTGTTAGACTGGGTCAGGCAAGGATGAGGTCTGTCTTCCAGCTGATTGGGTAGTTTATGTGGGTCAAGTCAGTCATGAAATGTCAAATTTAAAATTTAAAACGTTTTGGTTAAAACACTGGTGCTTTCAGGCATGTTCTGGACATATTGGTCTGAAATTGGAAAGATTGGATTGGAAAGATATAGCAAAAATCAGCCTTCAAACATCACTGGGAAGCCAGAGTTGTCTAGTCTTCTGATTCAGAAGTACACGACAATACTATAGTTGAAAATTCTGCAGGCATTACGGTATTACCTGTAAATCATCAGTGACATTAATTGTTCCCCCACAAATTTCACTTGAACTCTTCTCGATTTCCTCACAAAACCGTCCACCAAACGATTTTGGACATCTAAAAGATTATTTGCTTTAAAAACTGACAACTTTTATAATCTAAAAGCACTTCTTAAAAGCTACCGTAACCGTGATCTATTTGAATCAGGGTTACGGTAGCTCTTTTTATCAACAACTCACTTGCATTTCTGGCAATCATTCGGATTTTGATAGCCAAGGTTTTGACAGGAGATCTCGGATTTGCATTTATCTAAAGGTTTAGGTTATTTTTAAGCAAAACACTTATAGCCAAACACTTATACCGGAACACTTATAGTGTTTATTGACGAGGAGGACATCTTTAAAAGATGGACCATCAATTTGCCCGAGAGTTGCCATAAAACGGAGATCTTTTGGGAGAAGAGTGAAATGTTTTCGGGTTTTGGCAAATCTGAGAATGAAAAGTCTTTGAGCTGTTTAAAGATTTTGGCATAAATTAATAATTTAAAGTTTAAATTACTGTAAACAACTTGGGATTAGTGCAAGTTGGGAATAGAGTTCAGAATGAGAAACAAGATCTAACTAGAGAATCAACGTTTCAGTTTCAATTTTTAAAAGAAATCGACGACCAACTCGTACGGAGCGTAATGCATGACGCTTCCCAAATCATACGGTAGATCGTAAGTTGAGAGAAATTGTGGCGGAATCTGGAAACGTTTACATTCTTGGAGCTCTTGAAAGTTTGGATTGATTGTGGCTGGTTCAAGAATTCAAAAAAAGCTCTCTTTGATCTTTATAAACTTTATAAACTTTGTGAACTTTGTCTACTTTGATAAAGTTGAGCTTTTGGTTGTCAATTATCCGATTCTCAACAATATCCACGAATTCATCTCGATCATAGCGGCTTTGCTCGTGGAAAATCCCGAGAGCGTGTGCAGTCTCGTGAGTGACAACACCAAACTGGAATTGACTACTGGAATTGAGATGAGTTTTTCTATTAGATTTCTAAGAACAAAAGCTGACATTCTTGGCTTTCCAATGAAATAATTGGCAAATTGATACCATAAATACTGTAATAGTACCCCACCCCCTCGTACAGTCGCGTAGTCGCAAAAGTTTTTAGTATTTCATTTTTTTCAAAGCGCCCGTACTTTCAAAAAATGTGTCTTTGGTATCAAAAAATAGCTGAAATTCAGGGCTATTTTTTGATACCTAAGCGCGCATTGTAGCATAAACCAGTGTCGAGCAAAAACTCGTTCAAAGCTAGACTACGCAACACTCCGCACCGTCATTATGGGGGTGGGGTACTATTACAGTATTTACGGTAGGTGTTCTAGAAACCGAGGTCTAAACGGTCAAACATGAGCTTGCGGTTTGTATCGATAATATCGATAAGCAGGTCTAGTTGAAGTCCAGTTGAAGCAAGCCTAGCTTCTAAAGATTGACGTGTTATGCCTCACTTGATCACATCCAGGCCCTACATTGACCACTTGCTTTTTCATATGGACATCTCGTCCAACTGTTGACCAACAACCAGGATTTTGATGGGTGAAAAAGAGATGCGAAGTGTTTCTGAGAATTATAAAATTTTTTAAAAATCTGATTACTTTCCACGTTGTTGAGCGTTTTTGAATCGCACACAAGTCTCTGTTTCCCAGAATTTTATGGCCGTTCGGATCACTCTTCGTGTCTTTTGAGCTGAATCAAGTTTAATCGTTTAAAAATTCAAATCCTACGCATTTTCGGATGCATCGAATAGGGGATTTCGTCGGTCCAAATCGTTTTCGGGTAATTTGAATCTCTATAAGTTGACTTGTGTTTAACTTTTGCCTTAAACTTTTGGTACCTGGCACAATGAATACTTTATTTTCTTATTGTAGCGAGAAGAGAACTGTTAGAAATTATGATATTCAGTGCACCAGATTTCGAAAGTTTACAAAATAGCGACTATACTTCTTTGGCTAAAGAGTTTTCTAAAAGATGGCTTCAGAAAAAAAGCTAGCAGCTTTTTTATCTTGGGTATCTTTTGAAAGCCCAAACCAAAGTTTCAAAAAGACTTACCATGATTGTTTTATTAAAGAGACAATAAGGTTACTGTAGCTTTTTATCAAGTACGCTTTTAGAAAACAATTTAACTGGAAGAAAAAGTATTCAATTTCACCTGTAAGCTTGTCTTTTCCCTCTGATTGAGGAAGCTTTGACGATCTCTTTCAGAAATTCCTTTGAGATCACCAAATCTCCTTGAAAGAGGAAATTTCTGGAATCAAATTTAGAGAAAGCACTCATTTTTTTAACTCACTTATACAGTCGATTCATTTTCGAGATCGAAAACATTCTATCGCTTTCCACAGTTTCATCAACATCATCATAGTTGAAGTTCTGAATGAGATTTTGGAGAAAAAATAAACCAATCAACAAATAAACCAATAAACCAATCAACAACTCAATCAATAAACCAATCAACAAATAAATCAATAAACCGACCAACAAATAAATCAATAAACCAATCAATCACTGATTTGTCTAACTATTAGTTTTCTGAATATCTCAAAAGTTGTAGATAAAAATGATATTCAGCTAAAGTTAAGCAAGGATTGGTTTTTTATAGTTTTAATCACACTCACCAAGGTAACATAATCTTGTCGTAAAGCTTGATCTGGGAATAATGGATCGGGCACAAGATCGGATAACTAAATATCTTTAAAGTACCAGCAATCAACTCAAAAACTTAGCCAGAACCTCACCGAAACATCATCGTTAAACTTTGCAAATGAATAGTTGAAAAAGTAGAGCACCAATAGCCTCAATAGGTGAAATTTCATTTCTGTTTTCTCTGGGAAAAGAAAATTTATAATGTCTAAGCCTTTATCTATTCATCGCATAGTGAAATTTTTTTTATTCTTCTTTGCGTAAAACAGGATTCACCAAGGGAAACAAAAAACAAGGCGCTATTTAGCACTTATGGCACTAAAGTACCGTAACTTTGTCACGATTATGGTAAAATTTTTGGTATAAAACAAGTGCGCAAAAACTTCTGCCATTTGCCAAAAGGTTTTTCTAATGCTAGTTCGTTCTTCATTTTCATGCTTTTTGTGCTGTTTTCTTCATTAATTTTTATCTTTCCAGACAACTAACTGGATTAACTGCTAACGTCCCGCAAGATGAGCATGACCGAAGAAACGATCGACTCGATAGAGAAAGGAACGCTCGACACCAACGAGACGAAAGCTGAGACTGGGGATCATGGAGACTTCAATCGTGCAACTTATGGAGTGAGTTTTCTTTACGACTAATTAGATTCGGTATAGATAACTTGCAGCAACGAATACCAGAAGTATGATAGTAAAAGATTAATATGGGTTACATGAATCTTTGCTGTTCTTAGACCGCTGACCCTATTCAAATAATGTGTTAAGAAATTTTGCACTAAAAGTTTTTTTTAAAGTTATTGAAATGAGTGGTTAGGTATTTCAAAAGCAGACCAATATGACTTTGTTTAGCTCAGCCAACTTTCGTGCTCGACTGCCAACAATGAGGATTTTTACATTGTGCACCATACTGATGATGAATCGCGTGAGACTCGAAAAGAAACAGAGGTAAAATTTCATTATTTTGTTATGATATTGTCCGTATTAGCCTAAACACTTTCATCCGCTTGCTTCCGCCTATGATGAAGTCCCGATGCGATCCGTAGCTGCACAGACTTCCATCTGCACTAACTCGGAGAATGTATTGTTTTGATAAGTTGTAAAAATAACGTTTGGCACTTTAGTTTCCAACAACTCCTTACTTGCCTTTTGGATTGGTTCGTGAATATCCACCACCAAACATGGTCTACCGGGAAATCAATCGAATTCCTAATGCCCATATTCGGCAATTGATGACTAATGCCCAGCCTTTTCCGTGAGTTTTATTTAAATTTGTATTTGTAATTAAATTTGTAACAAGAGCATTTAGATATAGCAAGAATGATGTGCCAATGCTGTCTGCTCCAAACTTCGCAATGAATCGTTCCCCAACGATGGCTGTTGAGAATAGTATGACCAACAACATGCAACATGAAGGAGATTCCGCTAGTCGCTCGAATACTCGTCGCTATAACTCTCATGTCGAGTCAAACGCCTTTCACGGTAAGCTGGTAAGCCAATTCAAGATGCTGTCAAACCTTATTTCAGGTTCTTCTCGGTCCATCTCAAACAACTCGCGTCGTTATGTGATGTCGAAGTCGATCTTCAACTCGACTCCGAAGGGTCAATATCCAATGATGTACGTCAGTGAACATGGAATCATTTCACTTGTCATTTCTGATGATATTCTGATTGAGACTGGAATCGATAGAACTTTGCGTGTTGTTTCGCACGGCAACTTTGCGGTAAGATTCATTAGTTACAACCACGTACAAATAATGTTTAGATGACGATGAACTCTCGTGGAACAGCTTCGGCAGTTGAACATCCACTTGCAAAGATCATTCATGGTACCACAAAGATTTCCGCTAGATTTGGTATGATTGTTTTTGCTTGACAATGCAATTTGTGTGTTTAGTTGCTTTCAACAACAAGTTCACGGTTTTGGATTCTGAAGCTATTCTATTTACGATGGGCCATCTGCAATCAGGATTTCTGATAAGGTCAAATGATCCTAAAAAGGTGCCTTTAAAGTTTCAGAAGTTTATTATAAAGCTTTAGGTGCCTGTGGAAATTCCTATGAGCATCGAATTGCTAAAATGCTTCAATTTGAATCAGGACTACACGCAGCACGTTTTCTACAATGAAGCTCCGGAGGACGTTAACGCTCAAGTTTGTGATTAGCATATGGTTGAAATTACATAACTTTTAGCGCTTGGAAGTTTGCTACGATATTATCCACAAGGCCACGTTTGAATATCTCGAAGATGGCGCTCTGCGCATGAATATTCACGGAATGGTCATTACAAGCTGCCCCAACGGGGATCTTCGAGTTAGTGTTTTAAAAACCATCGAGATTGTCTCTGAAGCGGACAGTTTGTTCTGTCTGTGGAACCAAATTGTTTTTTAGATTGATTCTCGTCCTCGTGTCATCACATGCAATCCGAAAAAGGGAACGCTTATGTTGCGCAGTCCTTTGATTGATATCGGAGTGGGTGTTTTAAAAGGGCACTGTTTCGTTCGGGTTACTTGTCACTAAAAAATTTTTACAGGTGGATGAGGACGAAAAGGCTTACGTGAAGCGGGGATCGAAACGCGTACATGTGTCGAAAAGCGGAATGGTGGTCTCCGATGGCAACTGTGTCACTAGCATGGATCATTATGGACGCATTATCTCATGTACTTAACTCTCTTGGGTCTTTTATTTGTGTTATTTGTAATTTTTTGTTTGGTTTGTTTATCCTGTGCCATCATCTGATAGTTACCCTTGCGCTTGTTTGTTATTTGATTGCTAACTTAGTTTGGAATGAATTGTTGAGAGGTGATTCGGCCTATATGTAAAAACAGTACGTTGGACGACTCGCAACGGCGATTTCTTGTGCGTTCATTGTAAAAGTTTTCGTTATACTTTGGGTTAAAGGTTCAGAGGTATTTGTGTGCTTTGTCGAAATTCTGTTAAAAGCTTTAAAATTTCAGCTTTTCTGTCATGGAAGAGCTAAAAGCAAAAGCTCGGCAAAGCCCAGAACTGGGCGAAGCTTTAGCGAAATTAGAAGCCGAGAAAAGGGCTCGAAGAGAAGTTTACGAAACAATTATCTCCATGATTGAGCCAATCGGTGAAGAGGTTCTTCTCCAGAAAGTTGGTTTTATCTACAAACTTTATTTTATTCGTAATTTAGCTTCCATTTTTGGATTGCAATTCATGGAAGGAAGTTATCGAAGAACGGTTCCTTGGAAAAGTAGGAATTTCTAACTTTAGATTTTAAAATGCCTTTTGTTTAGGTTTGCGGTTTTCCCACTTGCAGCAAAACTATTACGCCAAGGAAATTTCAAAAATATTGGATCGATTCAAAGGCTAGGAAGGTAAGTATTCTTGTTTATGAATTTTAATTTATGAATTTTAAGGTATACGAGGTGTCGACGGAGCGGGAAAAATTTTGCGGTGCTCGTTGCTTTGATATGTCAATTATGATAATGGCACAACTTGATGAGCAACCTCTTTGGATAACAGGACAACGAACAAGTGCAAAACGATACAATTCACCTTTAATAATTGTATTTAGAAAAAAGTTTCGTAATTGAAGAGCCCAAAAATCCATCACGAGAACTGAAGCCACTGCCGCTGCCGAAAAAGCAACAGAGACCGAGCTATGAATTTGTTCCAGATCAAGTAAGCTTTGCTTTCTAAATGGTTAATGGAGACTTTTGAAATATTTTAGGCATAAATTTAGATTGTGGCTCCACTCAAGAACTTGAAAGTTGCAGAGGCAGCAGAATCACAAGCAGATTCCGACTCGGATGCACATGAATTCCTCGACAGTGATGAGGGAGATTTTGAAACAAAAGCGGTAAAACAAAAGCTGGTTACTAATATTTCTCGTGTTTTAGGACGACCGTTTCATTGCCTCAATTCGAAATTTTCTAACGTCTAAGCAACAGGTTTTGCAAGTACAAGTGAGGTTGAATAACGAATTTATATTAGAAGCCGTCCAAGAAAAGCCCGCTACAAGCACCGGACGAAGAAAAGCTTGCTCGGCTACGGAATAAATATGGGACAAAAAAGGAAGCTCAGAATAAAAAGTAACATTTTTAATTCTTTTAATTCTTTTATGTTACAGGAAACCTATTATAATCGATGCACCTATTATGCAGTCAGAAGCATCATGTAGCAATGTCGTGACCGGTTTGTACTTTGAATAAATATGATCTCGATTATTAAAATTTAGTTAATAACGCCAAACAAGTGAAAGACGATACCATTCCATTGGTTTGGAAAATTACGAAGTTTTTGGCCCTTTTTTCATTTACAAAAACTAACTTAGAGAGTGGATTGGCGCTCAGACAAAAGAGCTGGTCAATCTCGGTGGTCCTCGTCTCGTCAACAAAGGTGATATTGCTCAACTGCGTGCCTTTTTTGCAGGAGAATCAGCATATCAAGAGGTATTGTCTATTCCGTAAGTCTTTTTAAGCCACTCTTAGTTGGACGTTAACTTACCACCAATTGACTCGTTAAATGTGCACAGAAGACGGTGCGAGATACTCATCAATCAACTTAAGAAACCGTGGGTTATATAGCTTGGCAATTTCAAATTTTGGATCCAATTCAGGTGGACTTACATGGAAGAAAAGCTTGAGCTTCAGCGATCTCACTATGACACCCTTTTGGCACTTGTACGGTCATTCGCGCTAACTGCTGATTTGCCTGTCCTTTCGGTAAAACAAACGCATGCCCTCGTCATTATTTTGTTCCGAATGTAAGTTCTTTGACCATCTTTATAAAATTGGTACAACTGTATTTCCGATTCTTAACTTTTAGAGCCTGCATGCTTGATCAACAAGACATCGAAAAAAGATTCTTTCCAACCAATTTGCCACCTTCCAATGAAATCAAAGCTTATGCCTCGGAGAAAAAGCTCAATTTTGATGATTATTGTGATATTTTGGATAGCATTGGCAAAAGTTTAGTCTAGAATGAAAATAGTCTTTTATCGTCTGCATATATATTTTGTTTTATTGATTTTCAATCCTTACGGTTTATTGTTATATATTTACATTTTGTTATTGTTAGCGATAAATTTTTGATAACTTCTTTTCTGTGACTCTAACTTGGTTAGAACCCTTGAATACTTTTACTTTGTTTAATTATTTGTGAGGGAGCTGTGCTCTGGTCATCAAAGTCAAAATTAATTCTAGTATGGAACACGAGAAAAAGCATGTGATAACCGGAGGACTTAAGCTGAAGAAAGGAGATCTCTTCAAGAAGAAGAAAAAGAAAGTCGATTTGAAAGAGGTTGTTTTAGTTCAATAGTCGAACATTTAATTGTATACTTTAACGTTTTTTTGTAGGTCGATTTAACAATAAAAAAAGACGGTACATCCTCGACGACAAAACTAACAGAAGCGGAACGAAAGTTCAAACAACGACAAGAGAAAACGATGGTTGGTGTTTATTTTAAGCTAACCATTTTATCGTCTAAAAACTTCTCGTCTTTTAGTTTGAACGAATGCAAAAGAAAGCCGTGGTCTCCCATCGAGAAAAGGTCGAACAATTCAACAAACAGATGAGCGAGCTTACCGAGTTTAACGATATCCCGAAAGTATCTTGGACCAAATGATTTTCTATTCTTTATCAATCTTATTTTTTTTCTGATTTATCAGTCTTGTTTTTCTATTTATTTATGTACATAATTATCAAATGTTCAATAAACGTTACCTATTGTTGATCAAAGGCGACAAAGTTGTTGATTAAACAATTGTATGCATATCACATTGACTTGTCTGAGTCAACAATAGGGGGATGTTTAGTAATTTATGCTAAAATATTCGTCACGGTTGATCTATAAGACGTTGCCTTCTGTGTCTAGCTCTGCGTCGATTTCACTATCAGCCGCGAGGAAAGCATCGAATGAAAGAGAGCAAGTAAACTATTTGAAAACAATTAAACGAATAGGGCTTAATATTGCTCCTTTTTTATTCAATTTGTTCTAGAGCAAAAAATTTTGTAATTAAATTTTGGATTTATTTTCCTTTATCCACAAATCATAATTGTCTACTTTAGGAATATTCGGTACCAACAAGGGATAATAAAGGCAAGGATTTAGAGAAAACGCAAGTTAAAGTGGCGGTTAGTTTTTTTACGGCTCAATAGTTCATTTAGTGGTTTAGATTGAAAAGCCAAAACAACGAGCGATTTTCGACAGTCAGACGCGCGATGTGCCTATAAATCTCAATTTTCCGAATCCACGAGGAAGGGATGAGTGAGTTTTTTGTCAACAGAATGTCTCTGATAAACATATTTTAGCTGGGATCCTGAGACGACCTTAAAGGAATTTGTTGACGAGGCACCGGGGGTTTTAAAAACGCATACAAAGGTGAGTAAAAGTTAGTTTTTTTCTAATGGTTCTGTTTAGATGTTGGCTGGTGAAATCAAAGATACCATTTTATCCGCCGACGTTGAGCATCCAGAAATCATGGTTAGATCGAATGTCCTAATCTTTCTAAAACAATTTGCAGGAAGATATCGGCCATGTGAGACATAACGAGGCTCGTGTAGAATATCGATTTAATAACGAAGAGGTAATCGGTAATGTAGTTGGAAGATTTGGAATTTCCATTTAGGCGTTAAAACTTTGGCGTACCGGCTGTGACTCGGATTATTCAGAGGGATTTTCAAAAGTAAACTGGCAGCTATCGGATCATGAAACGGCAATCTTCAGGTGAATTCAAAGTGATTGAAGTTTTAAAAGTATTTTAGTGGCAATATTAACACATCACTGCTGAAAGATGGAAAAGTGGAAAGAGCGGGGTGAGTTAGTGTAGAACTTTACCAATCAACTTTCAAAATTTTTAGTTGGGCATCGATAAAGTTGGAGGATAAGAAAGCATTCATGCGAAAGAAGTATTTCAAACGATGGAGAAATTTCACGCATTTGCTGGTTAAGGTAAGAATATCTCTTTTTCACGAAGTTCATGCAAGTTTAGTGCCGAGGAGACGGTCGATCGTATAAAGTTATGTTACATGCTCCTCAGACAATCGACATAACATGGGGCGATTCATGGTCATTCCCACTGCACACTCACGGAGGTTTGCTTGTAACTGCAATTCTACAATAGATGGCTACAAATATCTTTATCAACTTATCCAGGTCCCTATTGGCAATATGAAAAGATCCCGTTCTCGAAATTCTTTCACACTGTCGCCGGGAGAATTCAAGACAAACAAATTCCTGCGTTCATCAGCGACGTGAGGTAATCTTTAAAAAAAGCAACCCGAATATTTTGCATTTAAAACTCCAGCTCGGTCGGAATCGTTTTGATGGATAGAATGGATGGGAGGTATGAGACTATTTGAGGCTAGCACATGCACAATGGCACAGTTCCCGATTATTGTTGGGAAATACTAGTTGTGCATATGTTAGGGCTATTAATCAGTCACTTGTTGTTTACTCACTAACAAATAAATTTTAGATTTCAATTAGAACTAGACTACATTGGAGTTTGGAATGATTGGACGCATACGGAGAAATTCGCCTACGAGACCTATGTGATACCGATGTTCAACACGCATACTTTTTGATTTTTTTTGGTTAGTTTTGTTGTTATAATAGTTTTAGAATGTAATAGATTTATTAATAAAATTTAATTTTAAATACCCGTATCACAAGTACATTTATAACATATCACCAAATGTTAGGCAATAAATTGTCTAAAAATCAACAATGAGTGTTAGGTTTTTACGCGAAGATAACAAATTGTCTTTTCTGGACAGCTCATCACAACGATGATCAGTGAATGCTTGGCTGCTGCGCGAATCAATTGTTCAATCTGAAAGTTAGGATTGAAAATTAGGCACGTTGATTTTTCTCACTTGTTGATCTATCGACTGAGAAATGATAGAATTCTGTGGGAGTTCGCCCTCTTCTTTCTCAACACCATCTTCAGGAGACACATCGTCTTCATATTTGAGATCAACAAGGCAAAGTCCAAAATCCAACATGTCCATACACACCTAAAGGATTTTTTAGAAATTTATTTTTTTTCTACAAAACTTCCTCGATATAGTCTTGTTGATCCTTAAAATCGGATGGCTTTCGCTGGACGATACTAAAAAAGACGATCTTTGACAAAACCTATTTACCCACTATTTGCTTTCCGGAACTTCAGATTTTTCCAATGTTCTCGCTCCCCACATCACTTTATTCTTTGCTTTCGAATTTCCCAAATAATAGGGCAGTGGTCGAAAAGTTGCTGCCTTATCAACGCGAACGGCTTTGCTAGACAGAAAAATGAACTGAAAATTTGCGGAAACTCACCTCCAATCAAAATTGGCCTCGAGCGAGTCGGGTACAGGATTTTTGGCTAAGCATAGAATACATTTTGCAGGTGGGCAAATCTGAATTGTTATTTTACAAGAGATTTAAGAGTAATTGTACTTGACATTGACATCCCTCAAGTATACAGTCTAATCCTACGCGTGCACCACAAACACAATGTGTTGTCCTAAAAGCCAAAAAAAACTTGTTTCTTTAGTTAATTCAAGTACATTTGTTCAAGTTTTATCTTCTTTGGAAAGCTTGGTCCTTGTGGAGGGCTTGAGCTGAGCACTTGAGCATCATCTTCTTTTTGTTTTGATTCGTTCTAAAAAATTTGTTGATACTTTATAATTAACAATGTTAACGATTTAAACCTGTTTCTTGCGCAGTTCTCTGATGTACTCATCATAATTCCACCCGTAGACACTACTCCCAAAAACTAGCCTAAATTTTGTATACCAAACTTAGTTTAGAAACAAAAAGCTAACCCCTTCTCAATTTTCAACTTTGCCAATCTCAAAGCAGCCCAACTGTCCTCCACCGAACAATGTCCTTTACCATCCTAAATTATTCTTTTGCCAGCTGAAAATAAAAGGAAAAGAAACCTGAATATTTTCTTCTAAAAACAAATCAACGAGATTCTTTAAAGAAGTTCTCGCTTTTAGACTGCCAGAAACATTAAATCGTCGTCCAATGTCAAAGATGTACCTAAAGTTTAAATTGAAGATTCAAGCGTTTAAAAAAACTAACGGATGACTCATTGATAGTGCTTTCAGATCGAACTCAAGTGAGTGACCGATAAGGATTGCATCCGATGGGAGCACCGCACGAATTGCATTCTGAATGGTTGCTATTGCTTAGTTGTTAAAAACATTGTTTTAAAAAGGAATATAACATCTACTTTACCTGAACATCTTGTAGTGTAACTGTCACGTCTTTCATCATCTCTTCGGTGATACCGCTGAACTTCGTCAAATAATCCTAAAGAATCATAGCTGAAACAATTCCAGAATCCTTACCGTGATTTCCCTGGGTGGTTTGACCAGCGTATCAAAAACTACAGCGCCGTCTTCTTGGACCTAAATTTGTTGAGTTTTTGAAATTTATATTTCAAAAATTTTCCAATGAGAGCTCTAATCCTACCAATGAGACTCTCGTTAATTCGTGCCCTCCCGATGTAGTTATGCACATTTCACAATCAACTGAGAAAAGCGGAGAAGATGCTGTTATTGGAGCATATCTAAATTTATATTAGTTGGATAATTATTAATAAAAAGACGTTAGTAATTAATCATTGATAGTGAACTCACTTTTCTTTTGTGGCAATGATTTCTTGGCTCGGCAAGGGGTAATCGTAATCAACAAGTTCCACCGATGACAACAAGAGTTCCGACTTCAAACTAACGCTTCCAATTTCCGGATCAGCGGAACGAAATTGCTAAAGAGTGAGTGCTCATAAAATGTCCAAAACTGATTGTTAAGCACAAACCAAAAGCTTTTCCCTAATCTGTTCTTGTAGGCTGACGGGCACATTGAGCAGGCGGTTCCAGAAATCTTCGCGATTGAATACCTAAAAATTTCTTTTGCAGAAAGGGATCAAAAGCTACCTCATTGTGCGTCAAAATGTGTTGCTTATCAAAGAAGCTATCCAAGTAAGGGTAAGAAGCGCCCTGAAAAGAATTATATAAATTACGAATTGTCTTAAAAGTTCTAACTCACAACATAATCCAACGTTGACTCGACTCTGATCAAAATCGTTTGCGTGACAATGCGCGGCTTCGGGCGAAAATAGCACCATCTTGGTCGTTTCACAGCCGGTCCGATCACCGTGAATTGAACGAGATCACCAATTTCTAAAATTAAAACTTATATCAGAATTTTCCAAAATCCAAACCTTCATGTGATATGTAGGTGCCACCAAGTTTTCCGAGAGTCAGACAAATTTGCGCATCGGGGAGTTTCTCCATTCGGGCATCTTTCAGCTTCATTCGCAAAGCTTTCTCGTCCACGCCGACGTCAATCGCCTCCTCGATTTGTTCTCTAAAAGAAAAATATAGCGGTTATCGTAAAATAAAATGAAGAATGATAGGAAAATTATTGGGAATCTCATAAAAACCTAATCTAGAGCACTAATCGGGGTAGGCTAATTTCGCCGCAACTCGTCATAACTTTCTTCTAAGTGGACCTTTATGAGACTCTAATCTTTATGATTTTGGTCCATTTAGAAGAAAGTTACGGCGAGTTGCGCAAATAAATGGCGGAAATTAGCCTACCCCCACTAAACCTAGGTGAAATCTTTCAAGTGAAAAACTTTAAGCAACTTCAGATTTTCTTAGTTTCACAAAATATTTAGTTAACAAATTGAATATCTTGAAAATTGGAGAAGTTAAGATATTTATTTTTCTCTATCTCAATTGCAAAATGCAAAATGCAATTGCATCATTTTATTCTCCGTTAGCAAACGCCCCAAAAATGCAACTCACTTTCCTTGCAGCAAAAACAATTCGGCCACCTGTTTGCGCTGGCGATTCTGTAGTCGCCGATCTTTTGAGCTTGACATCCTAAAATCTTGTTATTAATTTTTTTAAAGACATATTAAATAAGCAAAAAAATTCCAGTTGCATTTTCGGAAAAATCTTCCATTTCCTATCGTTTTCTCTTACGAGTACGCAAGATTTCTTTTTACAGGTCCTCGCATATGCTCAATTGATCGCGAAATTGTCCTCTCTTCATTTGACTTTCGTTAACTTCTTCTCGTGTGAGTTTATCCAGTTCGGTGACATCTCGTCCGGATAATTACGGACCTCACGATCGCGAAGTCGATTGTAGGTTTTCGCGTTAGAGAATACTATACTCTACGAGAAAATCGCTCCGTCTAACATCCGCCAGGAACCCGTTCAAGATCAAAATCTCGCGCAGAAGCTTCGTTTACCGATCACGGGAATAAATCAAGCTCAATTTCCTCTACAATCAACGATGGAGAGCTTCAAACCGCCGCGACACATGTGGAGATCGTGGAAAACGCATTTGCTGACGATCGGACTCGCGACAGGGATCATCGCTGTGGCTTATGGGACGTTTCGAGTGGGCATTTTGACGAAGAGATTTTTGAGTGAGAACACATTTGGACAACATCAAGAAATGGAGGACTTTTTGGCGCACAAAGCTGAGATGGAGCAACGACGACGCGCGGCGCAAGTTACTCCTCAGCAGAAATAGATGATAGTTTTTTTTTATTAAGTCGCTTTTTATTATTAGAGTAGGGTCCAAATAGCTCTAGATTCTTAATTTATTCGACGATGTACTTTAGTTTATAGTTGCTCATTTTCTTTTTGAGAACCAATCGTTATTTCACTTACGGGTTTCATTGTTTTGGTATACTTCATTTTTTCGTGCTTTTAGTGTGTTTTAATCAGTGTTATTTAGTAAATTTTAGGCGATTTCCATTTTCACGAAACGATTGCCCGGTGAATGCTGAGAAACAATGTCTAAGGTAATTTTCTCCCAATATTTGTTACACTTTATCTTTAGAACGCCGAAGAGGAGCTCGAGAAGCAATATCGCGAGTATAAGATTCAATTCGATGCGTGGAAAGAAAAGAATAAGTAAGTGAACTCCAGTTTAAAATGAAAATAGGTGCCTAGGGGTTTTTTCATTCTTGATAATCTTTTAGAGGCTCACAGGGTACAGATGCCTACAACGCCTACGTGAAACAATTCGAGAATTGGGAAAAAGATGTGGAAAAACGGCGGAAAACCATTCGCGATAAGGTTGGCAATTTTTATTTTTCGAAACTTGTATGTTTTTCATTTCAGGCTGAACATTCTGCCAAAGAAGCCGCTGAAGTTGAACGAGAAAGGGAACGACTAAAAAGAGAAAGTGATGAACAAGAGAGAAAACTACGCGAAGGTATATTGATAAGTTTTCAGCTGAACAAAATTTGTTGCATTAAATTGAAGTTACGATTTTAATTTGTTCATCTATTAGCACTTGCCGCCTTTAATTTACGGTTTCATTTTAGAGCAAGCAAGAAAAATGGAAGCTGACCGGATAGCGGCTCAACAACGTTCAGCGGCTGAAGCAGCAGCATATGCGCAATCACAACAGGTATCCCTTTGAATTTTTAAATTTGCAAAACAACAGTTCTATATAAACTCGCATTTAAATTTTATTCATCTAGGCCTATCTTGCCCACCATCAAGCCGGTCTCGAACAGGATCACATCCTTAGAGCGGTTCACATGCAAACGACCACAATTCAATATACACAACCAGGTTTTTAAACATATTGGGGATCTGCATAAATAATTTTATTTAGTTCACCACCCACACTCCTCCTCGCACATGGCCGCTGTCGATGAGGTGAACGCGCAAAATGTCCTTCAACAAATGGCCGAAGTCGTGATGGGAAATCAAGTACAAGAGAAACCAGGTTACCAAATCTTCTCTGCAACAAAACTTTTGCATTAAAGCGGTATATCAACAACAACCCCCACAGCAAGCAGCAAACCCTCCTCAACTTTGGGGGAACACGAAACCCGTCTATGATTCGAGGGTTAGTTTTGTCATGGTTAGCGAAGTTTTTCACAACTATTAATTTGTTTGCAACCTGTGATTTTTTTTAAGGATCCACTATGGGCAAAATGGGGAGTTCGAGCCTCGCCAGCTCATCAACCACCGCCTCCATCCACGTTACCTATTGTACCTCCACCATATTGGATGGTTCTTGATTCTTTAAAGGTATTTCTAATTTTTCCAGACAAAATCAGCCCAATTTAGGAACGAAAGCTGATAATCGCTCCAACAGCTGCTGTTCCTGTGCCTTTCTTGAAATGATGATGATTATCTAGATATCTATTTTCATATTTTCACTTTGATCTTGTCGAAACTCACTCATTTTATTTGTTTCTGGTAGTAAACGATATCTCGCTTTGGAAAAAAAATACACAACATTTATCATGAGCAACGTTCAAAAATAGAGAAAACAACAAATCACAAACCAACAGAGATCAATTGATAGATTGTAATGCTTTCATTGTTTCAGCTAATTTGTGAAGGAGATCCAAATATTTCATCAATTCCTCAATTTCGTTTTCTAAATCCATCTTCTTTGTAAGCCAACTTATCTTTTTGTCGAGCATCAAAATCGACTCGTTGACGCCATTCAACTGACTGCGATTAGCGGGCTTTGGTTCTCCTTCAGATGAATTCAGCATTTCACTGTCTTGTTGCACTGACGCTGATTGAGAAAGTGTTTGGATGCTGTTCGTCTTTTTTGGGTTGTTCGCATCCCAAATATCACAAGCCACACACTTTCTTGTCCCCGTTCGAGATTCCATCAAAATCCCGTTGCAAATCTGGCAATATGCATCGAGCATCGTATGGCCAAGAAGCAACAACTCTCCCATTTGTTTGCTCACTTGATCGCGAAATTGATCTCTCTTCATTTGATTTTCGTTAGCTTCTTCTTGTGAGGGTTTATCCAAGCCGTTCGGTAACATCTCGTCTAGATAATTACGGGCCTCACGATTGGGAAGTCGATTGTAGTTTTTCGCGTTTGATTTTCCGCTTGTTTTTTGTTCTCCGTTCTCCGGGTTCTTGTTGAAAAAACGATGACCCATACAGTGCGGTCACCTAAACGGAAAAATATTAATGCAGCAGTAAGTTTTAAATTACCAAACAAAAAAAAACGACTGTTTAAAACATGTAGTTAAACATTTCATAACATAATTTCTCGAACAATGCCTACTGTTTTAGGAAAAGAGTGACGAGACCCGGCTTTCGCTCTTTGCCATCAGATCGAATAGTTCTCGATGGGATTTGGAAAAAACTTTATTATTTACAAACCAAAGCCATTATAAATCACAGAGCATCAACAAATATAAAAACAAATAATAAAAGCAACTTAACGCTTAACAATCCATTCGAATAAAAATGATTAATTATGCAGCATGATCTTTACGTTGCGAACCACCTCGAAAATCGCTGATCCACACACCACAAAGACGAAAAGTACGATCATCCACGTAGGAAGTGGCCACCTTAAAGTAAAAAAAAATGTTCAATGTGTAAAGAAAATAAAGTAAATTATCAAAAAGATGGAAAAGTTTCAAAAGCCTCAAAACTCACTTATTTCCTTGCTTTTTCGACGATTTCGACGAATTTCCTCGTTTGTTCGTGGGCGCATATATTTCATCGACAGCTTTCTGTTGTAGTTTGGCGATCGAAATCAGCTTGCCGTTTCGGGAGGACAGCATTGTCTGAAAAATAAACACTTTATGCATCGAATTGGATTTGAGGCGGTGTGAATGTAACAAATATCTGAAGCAAAATGAGCTACGTTCTTCGAGTACGCAAAGCTTGCGGCATGTGATTTGACAAGTCTCCGTCCTTGGGCTGAATATCTTTAAAAAGAAAGGCACTACAATCATTTACTTTACAATCGAATAAATTGATCCGGTTTAAAAGCTCTTTTCATCAATTCAACAAAATATTGTTTCTGACCAAAAACAGATGAAACACAGTTCAAAAAAGAAGCAGCACACAATATTTATTAATCAATCAAGTTAACACGAATATCGGAAAGATTCGAAATTGTGCGATTCTTTACGAGTGGCCAGTAATTTGCCAAGCTAAGACATACCTAAAGAAAGCAGTGTCTTATGTTTTAAACCAAACACAAACCATTGTTTGAATTATTTGGGGGTTAATAGTGGAGTGCTCGGTGCTTTCTTTTGCTAAAAGAAAAGTTGTGAGATAATATGCTAGTTAAAAGCAACCTCGGTCTTCTTGCGACAAATTGAGGCATTCGCAAAAGCAGTAGTCAAGTAGATTCCCTTCGATGCCTCTTCACGAGCAGTTTCCTAAAAAATATGCTTTAGCACCGTTAAAAGAGAGATGCTTACTTCGAAAGATCGCTGATCACGCGGACTCAAAAGGATTCCCATCAGTAATCCACGCGGTTTTGGTGTAAAAGAGCCATCTAAATACCAAAATTCACAACAGCAATCAATCCAACTGCTCACCTGCATTTACTTCCGAATCACCAAAACGTCGCTGTCGTGGATAAGTGAACAGCACCTACAATAGTAAACCTTAGAGCCATAACTTTCATAAAAGTTACCTTCCAGACATTGATCCCATAGTGTTCCCTCATTGCATCTTCACGCCAGCCTAAAGTCTGTATAAAATTCAAAGCAAGCAGTTGAAAATTACGTTGAAAATTGGTTTTCCACGAGTCCGGTAGATATTCAGGGTGAGCGAAAATAGCATCAAAGAACGCCTTCTTTGCCTAAAAGTGCGTAAAAAATTAGCTTAAAAACCACAAACCATTTCTCGATTCAAGAAGAAGTGCGGTTCTGGCAGTTTTTGAGGCTCGATTTTCTTTTGAACATCGTCAAAGATCTTATCCAACGTCTTGTTAATAAGTCCCATGATCTAAAATGGTTGAGTTTTTGCTAGATGACCCGTTGATTGCACCTTGTCATTGTACGCAGCCATTCCTCCAAAGAATTTGGCCAACTGCTCGTTCTCTTCTTTTGTCATCAGTTTTTCGAAAGACTAAAATGAAATAAAGTTGTTAAAATCAAAAAATAAATACTTTTTTCTTGTGGGCCTCCTCAAGAATGATAAGAGCCGTTGAAGCCGCATTTGGCTAAAGAAAATTTTAAGTGTTGGGCAAAACCTTTTATTACCGTCACATCATCCTCAATTTCTTGAACGGCTTTTGCCAGTTTTTCCTTATCCCGCGCGAGCTGTTCAGCCGGGCATGCAGCTACGGTTTCGATAGCAACCTAAAAAACGATTAGAATCAACAACTGACAAACTATTTACCGAATCGATAGCTTCAAATGCTTTATCCTTGCAAAGGCGTTCATCTAAAGTTTATTCATGATTCCATTTAAGACACCAGAACGCTCATACCCGAATTCTCTGCAGCAACCAAATTTGGATCGAGTGCCTCGCGAAGACGCTTTTTGCGATGTTCGTGCTCGTGCTAAAAAAAGGAAGCATTAGCTTTTGATTAAAAACAAACATTTTTGATTAAATCCTCTTGCTTTTCTGGTTGGACACTGGGTGAAGTGTCCGAATTGCATGAAACAGTCGACGAAGAGTTAGCTGAAGAGATAAGAATAAATATTTACTATGAGAAAGCTTACTTGACACAACAGGTGAGCGCTTCTCGCCGAGCTTTTTCCATGGCAAAGTGGACGTCTTGGAGTGGCACCGAGCCGGGTTTATCGGGGCGTTTATGCGCTCGAATTTCGTCTGAAAAAGGTAAAAATTATGTAAACCTATCTGTAGACTCCATTAGTTTCCGATAATCGATAGCTTAAACTACCGGCGCCAAATCAGGATCCTCGCTGAGACACGGTATGCCGCGTCGTTTCATTTCCTTTCTTTGCTCATCTCGCATTTCTTCTCTAAAAAAATACTTGGTGCTTTAAAAAAGCTACGACTTTTAGGTTAAATAACTTAGCATCATTGAAGGTTAACTAAACTTGAATATCGAGATTTCTATAAGTTATTATTGAGACTTATCGATATTATCGATTAGTCAAGTCTAAGGTTAACTCTTGTTGACCCATCCCGAAACTTCAAGGAATTTGTTCTCTAAATTAAACTTAGCGAGACGATACTACTGACATGTGCGCTCTTCTTTTAAAATATTCCCAAAATTAGCTAAACATTGGACACAATTGTGTCTCTGCAAATACTCGGACAACATGACATATCGAAAATGTCTGGTTGACAAATGATCCATGGTCGCAACAAAGTAAACCAACAATTATGGTTAGGAATCGAACCGGCTATCCTGGCTACTACCTAGATTAGAACTTCGTTTTAATCAAAAGTCAAAAAGCAAAATAACTAATAGCTTGAGATTCAAGCAAACATTGTGCATTCACTATTGAAAAAGGTAGGCCAAACCAATGAGTTTGCTTAGAAATGGCACAATTCGATAATTGATAACTTTTAGCTCATAGAAAGATCTTATTAAACGCTCAGTTTAGTTTTGCAATCTTTCAACAAAAAAACGTACGCCGATTTGCGGTGTTTTGGCACATCCCGAACGAGGGCTACGCCCTTTGACGGTGTTGCCGGCTGAGATAGATGTTGACGATATTGAACCTTCAAAAAGTCCTTGTCGACTTGTTTACCTAAACATAAGTAAAGGTAAAAGAAGTTACAAGAAAAGTTACAAATCATCCCGGAAAACACACCTTTTCCAGGAATCATTGCTGTTGTTTCAACCGGGAGTTTTTAAAAAAGTCGAATAGAAAAAGCAGATTTTTGCTCCCGATAAAACGATGATGAAGCGAGAAATAAAGTCGATAGTGAAGATGGAAAATGAAATGATTTGAGAGGTGTCGCGAAATTTGTGTCGTAAGGATTTTGCATTCAAAGTTACTGCTTTAAATGCTAATTTATGGTCGATGATGCAAATTTAACTTTAGTACTTGCGACTATTTCCGGCTTTGGACTACTTGTGACTTTGGCACTGTTGGTGAATTACATTATCAGTGCCGAAAAAATCACAAGTAGGTTGTAACGTACTTGTAGCTTTTTTCGCTACTGCTTATAATTTGGATAACGCATTATTGCATTTTAATTGCATTTAAAATGCAATTAAAATCATAAAGTGCCGAAAAAAGTCATAAGTACCTTACCTTTTTTTGATCCAATTAACCATTTTTTGGCAGTAGCTTTGGCTTTGGAAAGCTTTCCAAAAGATTACTCGAAAAACTTAAACAAAACTTTTGTGCTTATTCTTTTCAACAATAGTTGCAAGGAATTTTCCAATAATCACTTGTAAGTTCCAAATTTTCATAACTCATCCTTTGAATTCATTAACTCACAAAAATTTCTCGGAGGTACGTATTAGATGAACCGTTGAGGTAAAAAAAAGTGAAATGTGGTCAACTGATAAGAGAAATGTATAAAAAGGAAGTGAACCAATGAAAAAAATGACAAAAGGAATAGAAAAGTTTCACTGAGTCTCCTTTGATAGGTTGGTGAAAAAATTGGCTGCGAGTTAGACAAAGTAGGTACCCACTTTGGCTATGAAGAGTTAGGCAAAACCGTTTTTGCCAAAATTGAAAGCTCAGAGTCTTGGCCAAAACCCTAATGATCTCAACTTTCAAACGAATTTTTAAATTTTCAGAACCCTGAACTCTTTGCAAGACCCGAACGAGCCGCTCGAGGAAGATGAGATGGTTAACCCAGGTCTGTACCACGAATCTCCAAATTCAGATCTGATTTTTTTTCTATGAATAGTTTGTTAGCAGTACTGTGAATGAAATAAAAGAAAAATCAGAAGAAATGACAATATCATTTGCATGAATCGTTTAAGCATTCGGTTAAAAATTGTTCATTCTAGGCGGCTCTGTGTTTCACTTCATTTCTTCTGCGTACCCTAAAGAGCAAAAACATAATAGAACTCTAAGCAAAAGCACTGGTTTTTAAAAACTTCTCACCTTGCTATTCGCCATACCGCTAGTGTGAGTGCTCACGCTTGATCCACGATCAAACTAAAAATTTTAAAATCACAATGCTTTTAACAATTTGAGCAAAAGCCAAAAGATAAACAAAAACTTACTTGACTCTTTGTGCGTCCGCTCGGATTCGTGTTCACCGATTTACCTTCGAGCTAAAATCAAAGCCATCAAAAGTTAATCATAATAAAAATACCATTGGGTCTTCCTTGGTTGGGCCAGGATCCTAAAAAGAAAACAATTCGCTGAAGAGTAAACACAAACCTGAATCGTTGTCGTTGAAGAAGTTGGAGGTCCATTGATTCGAATCGGATCGGCTTTCATAAATGCACTCATATCCTCACATTGGCAACGTTTTGAACCGGCTTTTACCTAAAGAATAAATATTCGTTTATGATTAGTGCAATGATAAGCAAAACTCACCCATTCCTTGTATAAATCTTCGGGCTCATGGACATAACGATCGTTCAATGTGACACGGTGGCTAAAAAACTCTTTAAATCCGTAGTGCAATATAATTTTACCGTTTCATCACAGCCAACAATCCATCGTAGAGAATTGAGTAGTTCGGTCGAGAGTAAAACGTGAGCTGTCGTAAATGTGGCAGCACTTCGCCCAACTCAGCTAAAACAATCAAACATGTCCCTCCAGCAAAATCAATCAAAAAAAACCAGGTAACATGGTCGAAAGCTTCTTTGGATTGTCTTCGTAGAACCACTTCAAGTTTTGAACCTTGTCCTTGTCTAAAACATTGATAGAAGTGCAATTAAAGCAATTTTAACAACCTTTCTCGAATTGCCATGGTAGGCTGACGTTAAACTCGAGGAGAATGTACATGATCGAGTAGATATCATCACGACGACCAAGATCCTAAGAAAAAAGCTTAACACAAACATTATCATTAGTTTACCTCATCCCTGTGCATATTAGGAGACGCATATCGGAATGTTCCTCGGAAATCGATTCTCAATCGAGCCTTTCGTGCCGTCCAATGTCCTTTCTTGTAGAAGGCGTAGCCCCTAAAATACAACTTTAATCAGTGTAATAGTTTAAAGATAAACCGGTTTATACACACTCCAAATTATTCTCAAGGCTACCTTGCCAATCCAAAGTCCAACACATGAATCGTGCGAAATTTGGCCATATTCGATTGGTGGCCAAAGACGATGTTGGCTGGCTTGAGATCCCGATGAACAAAACCTCGATCGTGCATTGACTAGAAAAAACAATAAGTTGGATGCAATAAATTTATCGCACCTTGACAGCATGTAAAATTTGAAGGCCGATTCGGGACCAATCTTTCTCAGGAAGCAAGTCCTTTGTATAAGCAGTCTAAAAAAAGCATTTAAATCGTAGCCAAATAAGAAATTACCTTAAAGTCTCGTAAATTCTTTCCTAGAAGCTCCATCACCATGTAAACGTATCTAAACAACAATTATTTATCTTTCAATGTGAAAAAGCTAACTTCTCATGTTTCTTCGCGGAGAACAAGATCGGCAGATGAGTGAGTTGCTTTCTCTTGTTGCATTGCTCCAAGACGTTGATCTAAAACAAGAAGAATCTCTTTAGCAAAAAAGATAAGATGTACCTCTAATTTAATTGCAGATCCACCCTCCATCATCACCGATTCGACTTTGAGAGCGGCTGGGCGACTTCGGTTCTGAAGATCGATCACCTATGGTGTAAACATTATATCTGACAAAAATAAAGAAAATTTATAAATCTACCTGATAAACTTGACCGAATCCTCCTTCGTCCAACTTCTTATCAATTTGCCAACGCTTTCCAATACTAAAATAAAAATTAATGTTAGTCAAAGCAACCAAATTTGCAAACTCACACTTTCCCAACCTTGAAGAGAATCTGCTTGTCCGAATTGTACTCGAAATCGTCTTCTTTCGTCGCTCCAGCCATCTTCTCAGCACACAAGGAACTGCAAAAAAACATGATTTTACTCAAAAGTTCAAAAAAAACTATATTCAAGCTACTTACCGTAAATACTGTAATAGTACCCCACTCCCATAACGACGGTGCGGAGTGTTGCGTAGTCTGGCTTTGAACGAGTTTTTGCTCGACACTGGTTTATGCTACAATGCGCGCTTAGGTATCAAAAAATAGCTGAAATTCAGGGCTATTTTTTGATACCAAAGACGCATTTTTTGAAAGTACGAGCGCTTTGAAAAAATGAAATATTAAAAAACTTTTGGTGACTACGCGACTGTACGAAGAGGGTGGGGTACTATTACAGTATTTACGGTAATTAAACAAAAAAAAAAGTTAAAAACTATGTACAAACTTATTATTTAAAGATGAACAAAGATTAAAAGCGATAAATGAGAATTCATACCTTAAAATAACGAAGAGAAGTAGAAAATAAAATAAAAAGTTACTTTCAGGTTAATTTTAGATAAAATTAAACGTAAATTTAGACTTTCAAATTCAAATTTTTGTTTTTTTGGGGTAAAAAATGTTCTTGATTTTGTTGTTCTTGATGGGGTGATACTATTTGGACTTATTGATATTGATATTGACCGTTAAAAGCTTGTAAATTCAATTTATAAGTTTGTAAATTGAAAAAAAGTTGTTTTATAAATAGTTTTAAAAGGCAATTCTACAAGGATTTAGCCAAAACTTGTCCAGAAAATGCCTTGCAAAAGCCAAATAGTACCACCGCTGTTTGTGAAGATATTCTAAAGTCCTAGTCTTCTTCTATTACAGTATTCAGTTGACAAGACTGAGAATATAATACTTAATTGATTCGGCTTAGCTGATGATTCGGCTTAACTGATGATTCGGCTTAACTGATGATTCGGCTTAACTGATGATTCGGCTAAATACTTCCTAATTCATCATACGACATTAACAACGCTATAACCAACGACATCTTTAGCTCAAGATTCCCATTTTCTTCTCGGTCCCTTTCCTTTCTTGAATTTTGTCTATCTGCGAAATATGATCTTGTTTATTTGTCTTTATCCTCAAATTTTCCCCCTTTTTTTGAAATCTAGCTGGTGAAAATGAGTCAGTTCCACGAGATTCGCCAAATATCTCGATTTCTCTTTTCCGATTAGTGCAAGATCAAAGAGAAAATTTTTGTGTTCGTTCAGCGAAACTGATTGGTGGTGCATATTTGAATGGTGATGCATTTTTGAAAAACACACACCGATTATCGTCATCGATCATCGATCATTTTTGCGATGATTTGCTTGTTGATCTATGAAAGGGGAAATGTCTATGATGTGAGGCAAAAAGTGCAAATGTTTCTAGGTGATTTGCTTCAGTTTAGAGTATCTACTAGTCTAGAGTCCAGAAGCTAAAGTGACCAAAAAGCTTTAAAAATCGTTCAACTTGAAACTCTAAAATTCCCAAATAATTTCCCAATTAAACTTATAATCTTATTTGTTCAAATAAGCACTAACGTTTCCATTTTTCTTCTTGAAGCCAATTGCCAATTGAAGCCCAATCATTCCCAGAAAATCCTTCTTTCCAAACATTCTTCAAAGGTCATCCTTTTCAACCTTTTCATTTTTTAGTCATGGCTCAAAAATCGAGCCCCACATCTCCTAAAGTACTTCAAATTTTAGCTATTTAGTTATTTAGTTATTTATCTATTTAGCTATTTAGCTATTTATCTATTAGGTGTGTGAAAAAGTAATCCACGTTTTTAACGTTTAAATATAAAAGACCATAAGTTTCGTTAAAACAATTTTTATTCAACGAAGTAATCACCATTCGAAAGAAGAACCTTTTGCCAACGTTCTACAAGTAAAGACATTCCACGATAATAAAAATCTTGGTCCTTAGAGGCGAAGAAAAGATCAACCTCGGTTTTGACATCTTCTTCGGAATTGAACCGTTTATTGGCCAAAAAGTTAGACAGAGACAAAAATAAATAATAATCAGATGGAGAAAGGTCTGGACTATAAGGTGGATGTGGTAAAACCTCCCATCCAACACTCTGGATTTTTTGTCGAGTCTGTAAAGAGACATGTGGTCGCACGTTATTGTTCATGCGGTATCCATTTGTCCAACTTTTTGATAAAATTCATGGCATTCAAGCGTTTCCTTACGGTTGACCCATCACAATTTAATGTAAGGCCTATTTCTGAAGAGGTTGAACGAGGGTTTTCGAGAAGACAGCGTCTTATTTGGTCATCAGATAAAAATAAAAAAACGTGGATTACTTTTTCACACACCTAATACTTCAAATTTTAGCTATTTAGTTATTTAGTTATGTAGCTATTTAGCTATTTAGTTGTTTAGTTATTTAGTTATTTAGTTATTTAGTTATTTAGTTGTTTAGTTATTTAGCTATTTAGTTATTTAGTTATTTAGCTATTTATCCATTTAGCTATTTAGCTATAACGAATTCTTTTTTCCACAAATTTCTCTCTAGTTCTAACATTTTTCTGGAAACTTTTCAAATGATTTGTGATTTTCGAAAAAAAATCGGAGAAAAGCAAATGCTCTCTCTTTTTTTTGCGCGTTCCAATCTCAAGAAAATCCTAGAGAAAGCAAACATTTTTTGTGTTCAAAAGGAGAAAAAACTTTCAACTCACAGAAATTCTTGAAATTTCTCTACTTTTCCTCAAAACCAGTTCCGGCTACACTTGTTTTTGAGCATTTTTTACAAGTTCAATGACTCAAAATAGCTTATTCAAAATTGTTTGTGTGGGTTGGTCAATAAGAAACTTTTTCTTTTTTTCCTCTTTCTCTTTCTCTTTCCCTTTCTCTTTCTCTTTCTCTTTTTTTCTTTTTCTTAAAATTTGTCACATCACTTTATTTGTTTTCCTTTTGTTCTGGAGAAAAATTGGATAAACAGAAAAGTTTGAATAGTAATTTATGCACTGTTTCAAAGAATTTCTAACAATTTTTAAGATTTTTGAAGTATATTTTTAAAATTTAAACTTTTCAATATTATATACAATATTCAATATTCAATAAATCGAATACAATAATAATAATAATAATAATAATGATTTGATCTGTCTTCGCACTTAGCGCAGATCACAACCCGCTTCCACATTTACTGAGGCAGAAGTGTAGTTGTCGTAGCCGATGATACTCCGATGGCCGGGCTGGGGCGCTCGGAGGGGAGCCCATGGGAGTCGAACCCACGACTAACCCGCGCCGACGTTGCTCAACTTGGCAGATCGGACGGGGTCGACCACAGACCCTTCCCTTTCTGGGCCCCATCGAATACAATATACCGTAAATACTGTAATAGTACCCCACCCCCATAATGACGGTGCGGAGTGTTGCGTAGTCTAGCTTTGAACGAGTTTTCCTCGACACTGGTTTATGCTACAATGCGCGCTTAGGTATCAAAAAATAGCTGAAATTCAGGGCTATTTTTTGATACCAAAGACACATTTTTTGAAAGTACGGGCGCTTTGAAAAAAATGAAATACTAAAAAACTTTTGCGACTACGCGACTGTACGAGGGCGGTGGGGTACTAATACAGTATTTACGGTAGGTGCCTTTTAGAAAACGGATTAGCTTAGAGGAACTCTAGTTTTAAGATTTTGATGCTAAGATCCTTTGAAGCGTGCGCGAAAATGTGCTTTCTGCTCAAAAATGTAAATCCACCGTCTCTGGTGCACCGAATCTCCGCTTTTCTCGTGACGTAAGCACTAATATGAGAAAAACGAGCTAACTCTGTGCGCCAGAAAGGATTTGTTTAAATTCATAAGCACAAAGAAAGTTTTTAATGCTACCATTCAACTATAAAGAGGAGTAACTTCATTCACCAAGTCAACCACTCAACCATCCATTAGCCTCGTAAAGTTACTCTTAAACCACTCGAACTTTGAAACACAACTTTTCCAGTAGAAAAGTCTCGTCTTGTTAATCTAAACCAACTTCAATTACGGCAAAAAACTTCACTCCATATCTGAAAACGATTTTTGAACTTGAAGTTCAAAAATCGTCCTCTCTAATTTTTAAGGGAACTTTCCTCTCTAATTTTTGAGCTCTTCCCCATTCTAGACAACTTTTTAATGGTCCGTCTGAAAGGCCCATTATGATCTAAAGTGTTTACTCAAAAATTTCCCTCTCAGAAAAAAAAAACTCATCTCCACTTTTTCATTATTCCAGTAAGCTCAGCTTAATTACCAAATTTTCCATCTAATCAAAGTTCAAATCCAGCCTTTGCACTCATAGGGAAAACTTTCAATCAACTTGAACTTTCAACTTTCTTTCAACTTTCTTTCAATTTTCTTTCAACTTTCTTCTTCTTCGAAAGCTATTTTTAACCAAATTCCATATCAATATCCATTTTTAGATTGAAATCACTCAAATTTTCCATTTTCATTCATCAAATTTCCTCTATTTTCTTTCTTTTCTTTTTGTTCATCTCGAGAACAATCATGATGAAATTTCTCCTTTTTTTTTTTCCTTCCAATTTCAGTCTAATTCCAGTCACGCTCTTCTGTTTACGAAAAAGCATAAAAATTCCCTGAATGTCTCAACTTTAAACCCAAAATTGGAAAGGTCAAGTGACATTTTTAATTTGACTATCATTTCGAAATTTTTTTTTGATGAAATTTGGTCAAGTGGTGTGAAAATTGTTTAAACAAAGTTTCAACAATAATTTTCGATCAAAGTTAGCTCTTTTGATCTATCCACTGCCTGTTAGATCTAGCTTTTTGCAATCTAAATCTATACGGGAAATATTTGCGCATTTTTAAGCTCGATTTGTGAAACGTTAACATTTGAAAGCTTTTGAAACAAGCTTTTTGCAATGTACCTACTAGACATGGGAAAATTCCAACCCAAACCTAATTCCACCTTCGTTTTCTCGGCCGTTTCTTAGCCGATTGCTCTGAAATTTTGTTTACAAATAGAAATTGGCATTCTTTGCTTGAACGCAAAATTTCAGAGCAATCGGTTAAGAAACGACTGAGAAAACGAAGGTGGAATTAGGTTCGGGTTGGAATTTTCTCATGCCTAATAATACCCGAACTTATTTGATTCTAAAAATTTTCCCATGTCTAGTACCTATTGGTTTAAATGTAAGCTTAGCAAGGGAAAATGGTGAAAATGAATGAGAAATTCGTTTTAAACTAAAAGCTTGCTTTAGCACGCATTATCATTAGATATGGACGCTACAAACAATAAGGTCAGACTACATTCTCTTGTAGTAGCACATAGAATAAAGATTTTCTCCAAACTTTTTTTACCAAAAAAGTCTAGCTAACTTTAGGCTTTTGAATGACACGAAAATCAGGCCAAAACAAGTTTTTGACGCTAAGATAAAACGCTTTTCCAGGTTTGTAGTCTCATTCAGATATGGGCGACAAACTACAAACTACAAACTTTTATAAAACGTGCAGAATAGAAATTTTTCAAAGCTTTTTTTTACTAAAAAAAATGAGTAAACTTTAGGCTTTCGGATAACACTAAAGTCAAGCCAAATTATGTTTTCGATGCTAATATATAACGTTTCTCTTCAGGTTTGTAGCCTCGTCCTAGGTGACGAGACTACAAAACGGCTTTAAATGGCTCGTTCTCGGGGTAGAAATGGTGCATTTTCTTGATTTTAGTGTCATTCTAAAGCCTAAAGTTAGCTCAATTTTTTTTTGGTAGAAAATGCTTTTAAAAATCTCTATTCTGCACTTTTCTATTAGGGTGGTAGGAATGAAAACAGCCCTTACATATCTCTCCAAAAAATAAAAAGATTGAAAGCCTTAGCCAATAAGTGTTGTATACTGTTCGAAAGCCCTGGATCTCCTCTACAAAATAATGCAAAAAAGATTTTGAATTAGATTGTTTATTGAGGATTTGGTTAAGGTTCCCTTAACAACCAAGCCGTCCAAGTTCCCTTAACAATCAAGCCGACCAAGTTCCCTTAACAACCAAGCCGTCCAAGTTCCCTTAACAACCAAGCCGTCCAAGTTCCCTTAACAACCAAGCCGTCCAAGTTTCCTTAACAACCACAGGTCGAGTCTCAATCTGGGTACTTGCGCCTGCTGGCAACTATTGCTTTCACGGATCTTTTCGCTTGAAATTTTTCCAGTATATAAAGGACCAGTCGAACAACCCACCCTGCTTCAGAAGTCGTAAAAATGATTGCCAGAAATGAATTCCCTGTGTTGGAAAATCCCGCCATGCAAATTTCAGCGTAAAGTTTGAAAGTTTCACCCATGGCGTAGTGGATAGCGCGCTCGCCTCACATGACCTGGTCGACTTGGTTGTTAAGGGAACTTGGTCGACTTGGTTGTTAATGGAGCCAACAAACAAGCCAACAACCAAGTCCTCAATAAACAATCTAATTCAAAGTCTTTTTTACATTATTTTATAGAGGAGATTCAAGGCTTTCGAACAATAAACAACACTTATTGGTAGACTTGCAATGTTTTTATGAGACTTGCAATGAGACTTTGCAATGAGACTTTGTTTTTATTTTTTTGAAAGATATGTGAGCGCTGATTTCATTCCTATCCTAATATAAGGATTTATAATCTGATCTTTTAGTTTGTAACTTGTTTAATT